TACACTACATTCTTTATTATTAAACGAAGTAATTATTAGAACAACGTCAGTCTCCATTAATCTACACATTCTTAGGAAATAGTGGGTTCACAATGAATTACCAGAACTAATTCAGTAAGACAGTAATATCATGGAACCTGGAACCTGGTAACCTTTACCTGGAAACCTAAAGCTGCACTAGGTATACATCACATATTAGCAAAAAACTTGATATTTTGAGCACTCAATTGAAAATGTACACATACCGTATCAATCGTACTTACAGGTTGTGGTTCGGAGAGCTTGTTATTATTTTTATTTATTTATTTATTTAGTCATTTAGCAGAGTTAGACTAACTAGCTTGTTAGTCCAAATTAAGAAGGTTAGAAGCCAACAAAGATAAAAGCCAAGATTAGAGAAGCAGTCCTTGGTAAAATGACATGCACACAACAAAAGGTTCGAATTGTATTTCTGTGGTATCCTTGAACACAGCGTCTTCTCAACATGATGTAAACACACTAACTAGCGGAAGTGTTTGTGGGCAGGTCAGACTCTGTTCGTATTTCGTGGGCAGGCAGGGATTATGCAAAATGTGTTACCCAGTGCCGTATACCAGTAACAGGCAAAAGATTCGAAAATATGACGACTCGTTAAGGCGATTCAGAATCGACTCTCTCTTTTGAGAGACAATATCTTTATTTATCATGCACTTTTTTGATTAACAACTTTGCAGATTGTTTTCATTTAAGCATAGCTACGTTATAAACTGCAAAAGAGATATTTTTCAAAAACCCATATGACCTGCTCTTTAAATTGTGTATTATTATATATATTTTGAAAATTGATGGATTTGTTCGTATTTATGTTTAGGTGGAGTAGGTAGTCCAACAGGAAGTCCTGTCCAGCAACATGCCATCCAACACAACAGCATCTCAACATCAAATTCGACTTTACCACACACTCACCTCCCCCCACACTCACACCACACTAACAACTCACAACTATAACATGCTTCTACATGGACAGAAACTGATGAGAACACAAAATACGACCCTTCTTTAGAGCCATATGGTCAGGGCACCTATGACCAAGCAGGTACCCATCAGTGCAAAAGCAAAACTGAACAGCAAAATGTTTTAAACTTGGATTAATGACTAAAAGGGAATGTATGCATTACATATATGTATGAAATGTCTGCATAGAATAATTAAATTAAAAGTCTGTTTATATTTCTGGCCCTTGACATCTCAGGTAATCAGTTTTATTTGACCTCACTGTGATTCATTACAGTGCTGGAAAACAAACTGTCTTTTACCCTCACTAAATTTAGTTTTCTTATTCTCAGACCTGTCTCTCACCCTCTTTGTACCTCTCTTTCTGTCTTCTCACACTCTTCCTTATGCTTTTTTATAGTTGATCTTTCTCAGGGACACTCATCTAGTTTTACTCCTAGAGTATGTGTGCACATTTGTGTGTATATGTGTGTTTTGTTTTGTTTTTGGCCACTTTCAGTGTAAACACTTTGATAGCTTCAGTGACAGCTGTGTGCGCTAAATCCTAAAACTAATGGCAAAGCCGTGTGAAATGCATTGAATCAGGGCAGTTGTAAATTTGTAATTGTAAATAGGATTCTCTAGTTTTATAAATGTATGATGATGCAGCTAAGCTGATTGTTACATGTTTGTCTTCGCTGTAAATATTGTTAGAGGCCTCTTGGTGAATTATCAGGTATCACATTACCTACGAAAGTACTTAAGAGTATCATGTGTCAATTTTGGATTTGTAAAATAACATTTAACATTTTATATAGACCGAGCCAACATCAGAATCATGTATAGGAATGATAGTAAAGGAATCATGCATTACTAATCGCACTCATGGCACTCTGAATGTCTTACACTATTCTCCTAAAACAATACAGCATAGCAATCATTTCACACTAACTGGCTCAGTGACAATCAAAATGTCAATACTGACATTTCCTGGAAATGACATGCAAGCATGTGTACCATCTCTGATAAAAATTGCTTAGGTAAAGAATTTATATGGTTATACATTCTGTGTAAAATGGAATTATGAATCTGGACATGTGGAAAAAAAGAATGTTTGTACACTCTGCAGGTTTAAACTGTTTTATGCATGTACAGTTTTTTTTTTATATTTATCTATTTTTGTACACATTTGTGGCCATTTTTAATTAAAAGCACTTAATATCTGTATCCTGATCTCTTTTTTCATGGTTCATGTTAATAACTTTATAAAGCTGTGATACAACTGCTGCCTTTAGTGTATTATAGTTTTGCTGGACTATTCTAAGGGTTGACTGCATGTACTACAAGGTGATAGTTTAAAATAAATGACTGCAGAAATGTGGTTTTACAGTATTGCAGTTTAAGTCTTGTGAAAACTTGTATTAACGTTTATTGCGCCATCTTATGGTGAGATTCATGTAGCAGTTTGGCATAGACCTTATTCAGGGCAGCGCCCTTTTTTTTTTTAAACAGGAATGGAAACTAGGCTGTGAGGGATAGAAGTACAGTGCGTTCAGTGGATTGTACTGTTGTTTATCACCAGTGCTGGGTAGATTACTTGTAAACTGTAATCCATTACTGATTACAAATTACATGACAGAAATTGAAGTTTGTAACATTATCTGGATTACACAAATTAGGTAATGTACTCTGATTACTTTTAGATGACTTTTGATCTAACTCATTTATCACTTAGACTTGGATGTGATCATTGTGTACAGCAGGGGGGGTTTTGTGGAAAAAAAAAAACTAGGGTTTTCATGAAAAGCTAATAATCAATGAAATCATAAAAATGTCAAACCTTGGGAATCTCTACATTACATGGACAAACATTAATAAACATGAAAACATGACATTACATGGCCAAAGCTTTTAATATTTGAAATATTTTTTTTCCTGACTTCCAATATTAAAAATTAGTGAACGTCACTGGATATGATGAAGACAGAATTTCACAGCTGTGCATCAGCAGTGTTTAGTAACTTGCATAATTATTAGCCTCATGTATATAAATGGTAGGTTCATTTAGAAAAGAAAATTTAAAGGGAAAAAGAACTGGGGTGAATCAATAAATTATAAATAATTTACTTCAATTGTGTGAATATGTAGTCATGTAACCCATAAAAAGTAACTGTAATCTGATTATGAGCATTTTAAATACTATAGTCTAATTACAAGTACTTCCTTTTTGGAATCTGATTATGTAATCCAGATTGCATGTACTCAATTACATGGTCTATGACTATGACTATACAGTATGTGCTATCATAAATATAACCTCTCTCCCTCAAAGCCCTGTCTTCATCTGGTATTAAATTCAATATGGCGTCTAAACCTGCTACGGTCTATTGTAGAATTCTGAATGTCGGAAGTGAATTAATTATAAAGACAAAACATGGAAACCATTACACAATTACTAATAAAGACTACGTATTTATTAAAAAAAAAAAACAATCATGAAAGTGAAACGTATAAAATGTATCAAAAGACTTTTCCTGTGCTGTACCTCACGGATTGATATACATGCATGGAATACTGCAGTATATCTATATAGGGTAAATAAGTAATATATTATCTACAAAGACACAAAGACATTCATTCCAAAACCAAGCAATTCTGCCAACCAGCAGCTGAGGCCTAGACAATCAATCAAAATAAATTTAAAGATGAAAAAGAAAAGAAAAAAATTGCCGTTTCAGTGGTTACTCATTTGTGTCCAAAATGATTTTTTGCCAAAATTGTCTATTATTTTCTCACACACAAACTATATTTCAGTCTGAGTATCTAAGCATTATGACATCATCATCTCTTCGTGCATGGCTGTTGTCAAAGAAGCGGTCGCCGGGGAACTGGATGAGGTCACCTTCTTCAGCCAGTTGTCTGCCACTCTGGTAACCACTGAATTCAGAAGAGACACAGGTAGTGGCCACAGTAGAGCGAAATGGATGTCTGGTTGAGTACATGTGACGTACATGTGCATGAGTGGACGACTTCCTGCTTCTGATCCGCCTCTTCAACACACGCCCCAGCCAGACTCCGCCCACCACAAGGAGGAGCAGCGCATTGGCCGCCAGGGCTGCTACTGTGACAAGCTGTAGATTGACTTCACTTGTCACCAAGGGCAAAAGTGTGACAAATCCAGTGCAGTGATCTCTGGGGGCAACCTGGCACAAAGCTCCACCCACAACGCTCTCCACGCAGGTGATGTAGGTGGAGTCTGGGCGGAGCTCTTGGAGGGTCACTGCCCGGTCAGATCCATCTGTGTAAACATAGCGTGGGAAGCGGAAAGCATGGCCGAAACGGTCAAATAAAACCCGAAAGAGAAGTTCTTTCCCATGAACTAGTCCAACGTCAGGAATTGTGCTCCAGCGGACTGTGGCTGTACTGGAAGTGACATCTTCCATGCTAACGTTCAGGATGGAGTGACGATTGAATTGACATGCATCAGTGATCACTTCAATCTTTGAGTCATGATGCTTGGCTCTGTCTTGTAAGGGCAGGTTGAACTGCTCCTGTGGGGCCCAAGCAAAGGTGCTGTGGTTGTGGCCTGTCAAGAACGTGGCCGTTGTCGTTGGAAAATCAGATAAAGAGCCATTCCCTGTTTTCCCAGCTGTGGGTCTTGGCCTTGAGCTGACCAGTTTCCTCTTCTTCTTTCTGTCTAGTGTTGTCACAAGCCCTTGCTCCCCCTCATCCCCTTGGACACCTACATCTCCATGTTTTTCACCTTCTCGCTTCTCTCTTTCCTCCTTGAGAACCGGTGACTCCACTACTGCTCCACGGCTCTCCATTGGCTGAGGTTCTGACTCGCAGTAACCACTCATATTTCCCAGCTGGGAGTTGCTGACATAGTCCAAGTATTTTCCCGCCAGCACTGGGGTCCCAGCTGGGAGTTGCTGACATAGTCCAATTATTTTCCCGCCAGCACTGGGGGGTGAAGGCAGCGCACAAACACGGTCAACAGCTTTCCCTGAGAATGCGCATGCGTCATCCAACTTCTAAACTTCTCCATCCGGCAGTCGCAAGTCCAGTTATTCCCATTCAGTTCCACGTGAAACAAAACGCCGTTTGTGGCGAAAATTCCACCGGAGAGATTCACAAGACGGTTGTTTTTCAATTTTAAGATTTTTAGATGTGAAAGGTGGCCGAAAGCACCGGGGTCCACGCGAGATATGTGATTGTCACTGAAGTCCAGGTTCTCGATGCGCTCCAGCGGGTCTAGAAGACCAGCAGGGACCTCTGTCAGCTCGTTCCTGTCAATCTTCAACTCTTTCACTCGCGCGAGACCCCTGAGCGCTTCGTTGTCCAGCTTTGATATCTTGTTGTGGCTCAACGAAAGTTTTGTTAACTTTTTCAAGTTCTGAAAGACGTGATTTCCAATGTGCTTTATTTGGTTGCCTGCGATTAGAAGAGTTGTTAGTGACTTGAGATGGGAAAACATGAAAATATCGCGCAGTTCTGTTTGTTTATTATCTGATAGGTTTAAAAACTGCAGTTTGCTGAGCAGCGCGAACGCATTGCGGTCAATATGGCGAAGCTGGTTCGATTCTAATTGCAGGAACATTAAATTGGTCAGTCCTTTGAAGACGGATTCTTTTAAAAACTCAATTAAATTTCCATCAAGTCTCAGTTTGACTAAACTATTTAGATGGCTAAAAGGTTCGGAAACAAAGTCCTTGATTTCGTTGTTATTGCTATATAATATTGTGAGTTTTTTCAGCGACTGTAGAGTCCCAGGTTGTATTGTCGAGATTAAGTTGTTGCCCAGATAAAGCTCCTCCAGCATGGAGAGTTTCTCGAATGCTTTAGGATGTATATTCCTTATTTGGTTAAACTGGAGATTTAGCCTGATTAGGTTCCCATAGCGCATGAAGTCGAACGCGCTGAGGTTGTGAATGAAGTTTCCCGCAAGACCGAGAACCAGCACGTCCCCTGCGCGCTCCACCTGCGGCGCTTTGGGCACCACGCGCAGACCGCGATTTGCGCAGAGGATATGCTGCGCGTGCTGGCACTCGCATAGCTCGGGGCAAATGGCCCAACCAGGCGCGAAAAATAAAAGTGCTCCACTGCCGAACAAAAGAAAGTTATAGAACAAGTATGCCATTCCAGTGATGAGCAAATAACAAGCCACTCAATACATTCCTTTGTTTCAGTCCAGGTTCGCCAAGTTTTTCCTCGCCAGGAATTGAAGCTTTACAGATGCATTGCCGCCCGGATACAGACATTTAGATTACCTATAAAACGAATGCATCGTGAATTTTAGCTGTATGATATATCCATACACATCCGTTGCGAGCTGATGTGACTCCAGCCGAGGAAACATTTGCCTCCGTCAGACCCTCTCATCCCCCAAGAAGTCATCTGTTGCAGATTACACACACACACACACACACACACACACGCACGCCATAGTCGAGTTCAGGCACGGATCAGCCCGCCCCTCTCTCCTCCAGATGTGGACATTACAGTTAGCCTACTGAACAACATAGGCTACACACTCGTGTATATCTGATATACAGATTCTGGTTCAGATTCATTTTAACGAGTCCTTAGGTTGCATTAAAGAATCTTTTAATACTTTTTGTAGAAGAATTAGGATATGGGGAGAAATATAAATGCAATTGATATTACATTTAGGCCTACCGCCTGTTTCCAAATGATCATTTCATATTGCAGCATTACATAATAAAGCGGGAAAACAACTCTGGCAATGGTTTGATTACCCAGAATTTATGATGCAGTATAAATCCAATTTAAATGATTGGGCCTAAAATATATATTAAATAAAAATGCTAAAACAAATTAATATTGATATTTCATTCAGTAATTTTATGAAATGACACTAATGGTTCAAAGATTTTCAGATGACCAACCGAAAGTTAAAGGGGTAAATGATGTTGCTAAAAAGAACAGTATTTTGTGTAATGAAATGTGTTTATGCGGTTTCAAGTAAAAAAAAAAACACATTATTTTCCACATACTGTACATTATTGTTTCTCCTCTATGCCCCGCCTTTCTGAGACGCGTCGATTTTTACAAAGCTCATCGGTCTGAAAAGCGAGGTGTGTTCTGATTGGCCAGCTATCCAGTGCGTTGTGATTGGCCGAATACCTCAAGCGTATGACGGAAATGTTACGCCCCCTTACCTGTCAAAAAGACCGTGTTATTTACAGTGAATAACCGTAAATTGACATTCCCAGAATTCCCTGCGTTACATTTAAAAAAAATGTGATGTTTTTTTGTTGAAATAACTGTTTCTTCTTAGTTTTTTCTTATCAGTTTTGTATATTAGGGTTGTGTGTTACACCTAATGTTATTAAATGAATGTTTATTGCATTATTTCAGTTTCATGTGTGTTACCACGATGGTGTTTGGTGTTTGTGTGAATGACACTGTGGACCTTCTATATATGTTATTATTTAAAATATAAATATTTTGGTTCATCATGTGACTTTCTCATCAATACCTGAATTTGGTGGTTATCAGTGTATTACAAAGGTACAGACCAGATTTAAGTACTTCAATAGGTTGGTATATAATAACATTTTATCAGTTAATGAAATTGCGGTATTTAACTGTAAATTTAAGTCAAAATCTAAAACGTTGCTACCGTATTTTTTAGGTAAAATTCCGGCAGGTAAAATTCCGGCAACCACAGCTGCCGGTTTTTTACCGTAAATTTTACAGAATTCTTTTTACAGTGGACATGTGGGGCCGTGTTAGAATGAGCCGTTTTAGTTAGGCGTGGTTGACTATTAACTTTTATAAAGAATATCTCTTTGGATTTGAGACTTTAGTCTTTGCAACTTTACAGATCTTCTTTATGCAACAAGAGCTTGTAACACTCCAAAGAGAAAGGAAACATTGAAATCGCATCATATGACCCCTTTAATGACTTGTGAATCAGAATCCGTGAGTCATTAACGGCTGATTCAGAAGTGTTTTTATTCACTAAAAAGTGCAGGCTCCTGTTGGAATCTGCCATAGCACCGTTGCACTTCATGTGTCCCGAGTTCGAGTCCTGGTTGGCGGACCTTTCCTGATCCCACCCACCCTCTCTTTCACTTCGTTTACAGTAAAATAATGTCCTATCCTAATAAAAGCCAAAAATGCCAAAAAATAAATCTTAAAAAATATCTGACTGCTATGAGTCATTCTAAGAGAATTGGACAACAATGGTTGTTATATGTTGTGTGCTGTTTTTTACTAGCATTTGCAGTAAAAAAAAAAAAAAAAATGCACATTCCAAAATGGAAATGAATGTCATGAAAATTTTTCGGTTCTTTTATATTTTCAAAATGGAACTGGTTCTGAATAAGAACCAGTGCTTGGTTTCCAACTCTACACGTGTGCAAGAAAAAGCAAATTAAAGTTCTTCCCACGGAGGTCCCACAGGGCTCGATCTTGGACTCCACTGCTTGTTTAAAAAGCAACGCCAGGAAGAAAAATAGAAAAGTATAGAAAGGGAATTTCAGACCAAATTTCTTGCTCAGGCCGTGTGCCAGGTCATGGGAAGGATTGAGGAGCGAGCTCTCTTGGGTGCGTGGGGGGTAGACTTCACTCAATTGCAAAAGCCTAGAATTTATAAGTGTGATGTATTTGCAAAGAAATAGCATGTCAAATAAAAGTTATCGTGGAATAATTCAATTTTTCATTACTTTTCTAAATCCAACAAGAACATAGTAAATAACGTCCACTCAACTAAGTGAAAGGTCCAGATGTTTCATATTTCCTTTTAGCTCAAAACATTCAACGTGGAGGAGGGCTGAAGTGAACAGTGTTGATAATTATTCTGACTGCCGATTAGATAAAAAAAAAACATAATTTACTTGGCAAAGAAATTATAGGTTAGCAATGATCTGATTGGCACATTTGGTGTTATGAGTTGTAAGCCAAAATGGCAATGTCTTGAAAGAAACAGAAAGAGAAAAATGCATGGACAAACATACTTGTATATCTTCTCTGCACGCTGAGATGGGTTTGCATGTGTGTGTTTCCAATGAGGAACCCCCACACCCGGGGGTCACTTCCTGTCTAGTCCTCATATGAATTTGTCGGCTGACACACGCTAAGCCATAATGAAGAAAACTGTTGTGTGCACACAAAATGCGCTTGTGGGAGAAAATAATATCACCACACAACTGATTTAATTCAAGTTACCCTGGAAAGAATAAAAAGCATGCGACTGAAAAGAATAAGAGTTAAATGAGTGGAGAAAGAGAAAGAAACCATGTGCCATTAGCCTCAAAAATTGCACAACCAATAGAAAGGAATGGAACGAGCATAAGAGATATGGAAAAGAGAGACCAGGAGGAGAAAATAGTAAAAAGGACCCAGGGAAAAGAGACTATTAGAAAAAAGAAAGAGACAGATGGAGAATGAAAAATGGCAGGATGTGTAATAAAGTGCCTGTTGCCAGAGATGGATGCACATGGTTTTCATGAACCAAGTCTCTGAATGAAAAATAGCAAATCAGAGTGTTTTAGCATCACAATGCCAACTGTAAAATAATCAATATGTGCACAAAGTTACACACTTGTACAAAAAACAGTAGCATTTCCATGTGTGTAAACTCAGGCAAAAATTGAGCATTCCCCTAATGTTAGCACATTGTTCCATCTTGGTTATTTCTTTTGGAAACAAACTCCTATGGTCTAGGAATGTTCTTTTCAGGTTGTTGTAACCATCTTCTAACATTCTCCAAATGTTGCAGGGAGCTTTTGTGTGACAGCCTAATAAGAACCTCTTCTTTTATAAACCATAAACTAACCTTCCCAGAACCTAAATTGTTAGCTTAGACACATCTTCTGACATCATCTTGTTTGTATCTCTGTATGTTTAATTTGCATAGTGTTGCTACAACACACAGCACAAACATATATGCATACACACTCAAACACATCTCATTCTCAGTCTCTCTCATGAGGGTACATGTCTCTTAGTAACGATCACCCTCTCTGAGAAAGCAGGGAGGTTGCCTATTGGAAACAAATGCTGCCTTATTGATGAACAACAGCTTTCCATAAAAACACATCACTCATTTAGCGTCATTTTTCACCTAAAAAACCAAAGGCAAAATGATAAACTCCCAAAACCCATCTAACAATACAATATGTATATGGGCATTTGTTGTTCTCATTCTCTTATTCATTGTGATAAATGAAAGTGTGAATTATTTTACATTCCTGTCTGTCTTCAGGATTTTTAGCTCTTGCAACTGTGTATATCTCTGTATCGGTTTTCGTGAGAACAAGAGAAAAAGGGGGAGAAAAGGAAAAGAGAGATTTGAGGGGTTGACATGAGCAACAGCTGGTTGGGTCATTAAGTTCTTTAACCTAGATCTGCTGCACAGACTTTAACTCTGTACTGCCCTTTACACAGTATAAGTCTGTGTACATCTGTGGAGTCAATGCACAAATCTTATTGGTACTGACAACCTGCTGAGAAAGTAAAACAGACAAAAATGAACTTATGTCACTAATGCCTATACTGTGAGAGTGTATGAGTGCATCTGTATCTTTTAACACCATGGCAGTTGATCCCTAAAGTGATAGTTCATTTAAAAATCAAAATCCATCCCATAATTTACTCACCCTCATGCAGCTTCACAACTGTATGACAAAAAGAATGACAAAAGAAGAATGTTTGAACTGTTTTTGACTCTACAAGGAAAGTCAGTGGGGTCCTAAAAACATGTGAATCTATTGACTTTCATTATGGACAAAAAACAATTTTTTTTTAATGATCTTAATTTGTGTTCCACAAACAAATAAACAAACAAAAAGTCATAGGCTATACGTTTGGAACGACATGAGGGTGAGTGAATTTTGATATCAGAATTTATATTAACTATCCATAATTTTTTTCTATCTAGATCCTAATGTTATAATAGACCTTAGTCAGGGTAGACACCATATTGAATTTAACGTCCATTAAAATGAGGTAAGGGATATACTTCAGTCTTTACAATGGTACACACTGTACAAAGGTCCTAAAATGTGTAATTTTTGCAACTCACTATTTTCAAAACTGTTTCTTGTCTAGTTTTTGTCTATTAATTATTCATAAAAGACATTTCGTCAGCTGAACAGTCGCACAGTACAATCCACTGAAAGCATTACTTCTATCAAAGACTATAGAATACCCAAGACGCGTCACTAGTATAGTTTTGAATGGGGAAAAATGCAACGCTCAATATGGCTTCTCTATCGCAGGAAGCCCCGCCTTCGGAATAAAATAGCCAACTGCTAATCGG